TGGGCTATTGAGAGGATTAACTATTCAGTAGAAGCTGAATGTACTCTTCCTCTTCATCCTCTTCCTCATTTATTTCTGACAGCAGGTGTCTGGGCCCAGGAAGGAGTGTGGGCTGGAGAAGTGCAAGGGTCTGCCTTGGGTGTGGGGCTGTGCTGGGGTGGGAGTGGGGCTAAGGGAGGAAGCAGAAACAGGGCTCAGACCCAAAGGGACAGCCCTGAGGAGCCCAAGTCTCTGCAAATAATAGTCTAGGCTCCACCTACTCAGAGGACTATAGGGTGATGCTTCTCGACCCGTTGAGGGTCATATCTGGATCCTCAAATCCCAAGTTGCTCAGGCCAGCTTGGTCACATCACTGCAGGGGTGTGAGGGTTTTTATTGCTCCCACTTTGCAGTCGAGGAAACTGGGGTTCAGAGAGGTTAAGCAACAGGTCCAAGGCCTCACAGCAAGTGGCAGAGCTGAGACCTAAACTCAGATGCATCTGATTCCAGAGCAGAACGTTCAGCCATGCCTCCCAGCTGCCACCATTCTGAAGATTGTCCCCATTTTACAGAGGGGGAAATCAAGGCAGGTGGTATGGTAGGCTCTCTCCCAGTTCTAACCTGGACTCTGATGCCAGCTCCACTTTTCTTCCTTACAACCCCCCAGCTACTTCAGGAGATCCGGAAGGTCAACTTCCCCCTCCTAGGCCACCAGATCAAGTTCGACACAGAGGGGGACATGGCCATGCCCTTGGAGATCATTCAGTGGCAGTGGGACATGACACAGAATCCTTTCCAGAGCATTGCGTCTTACAGTCCCACGACTGAGAAGCTGGAGGTCATCAAGGTCGTCTCCTGGCACACCCCGAACAACATGGTCAGTTCAGAGGGACTGGCTGGGACTTGGGGGCAGCGGGGTCTGGGGGCTCATGCTGGGATGGCCCTTTCCATCAAGGAGGGTGCCTGGAGAGTCTTCATCTATAGCTGATGGGACCTATCTTTGTGGGTGCGTAGTCCAAGGTCCTGCTGATGAGAACTAGGGCTGTTCTGGGCTTTCCACTCCTTGGGACAGAGTGGCCCAGGGAGACTCTACAAAGTAAACAGTCACTGAATGAGTGTGTTCTAGGACCCGTGCTATGAACTTCCATTCTCATGTCCACCCTAGGGGGTAGATACCACCATTCTTCCCATGTTATGGATTAGGAAACTGAAGGCACAGAGAGGTTTTGTGACCTGTCTGAGGCCACACAGCTTGTCTGGGGTGGAGGTTCTCTATATCTGGCATTCAGGCTCATCTTATCATTTCATGCTCCTTATATCCAAATAGGGCCACATTCTAAGGTCCTGGGGGGTTTTGGTACGGTAACCGTGCCTTCAACTGTGCTGACATCTATCAATCTAAAGATCCTTTGTTTCCCCCTCTTTAGACAATAGATAATTGAAATTCTGATGGAGTGCAGAGGGATAGAGAGCAGCATTTATCCCCCTAGAGGAGAGGATGCAGGGATCTAAAGGCTTCTCCACCATTCTCCCCCAGTAACCTCCTGTGCCCCTTCACCCACCCCACAGCACACTTCACCCTCAGTCCCAGAGGTACCCAACACTGCCAGTTCCTGAGCTTCTTGGGATCTGTGTGGAGTAATTGGGTTGGGGTCTTCATTCATTTCCAGGGCTGCCATAACAAACCGCCACAGATGGAGTGGGTGGGGGGCAGGGAGGCTCAAACAATAGGAATTTTTCATGTCATGGTCTGGAGGCAGAAGTCCAAGATCAAGGTGTTAGCAGAGCTGGTTCCTCCTAAGGGCCCTGAGGGAGTCTCTGTTCCAGGCCTTTCTCTGGCTTCTGGTGGTCTGTAATGGTCATTGGCGTCCCTTGATCATAGATGCATCACACCAGCCACATGGCATTCTCTCTGCATGCATTTCTGTTTCCACATTTACCCCTGTAGTAAGGACACCAGTCACATCAGATTAGGGACTCGCTCTTCCTCCATCAGGACCTCATTCTAACTAATCATGACTGAATGACCTAAGGTCCTGGGGCTTAGGACTTCAAGGGGAACATCAGCAACCCATAACAGTGTATTAGCCTGGGTTTCCTCTAGAAAGCAGAGCCTGAGACAAGGATTATTGTACAAATAACGTCTATCAGGACATGATGTGTGGACATGAACAGGAGTGGGAGACTGGTGTGAGTTCCAGAGGGAAGAGGGAAAGTCAGCCCCAGAGGACATTCTCCAGCCAGACCCTGCTGTGAGCAACTGCAGCTGAGTCTTACTGGGACCTTCTGGAGAGCCTCTTTAGAATTGACTCCAGTCCCCTGGTGGCCAGGGGCCACCCCCCCAGGGTGTCAGCACCCTTGCACTCCAGGTCCTATGTGTGTGAGAGCCCAGCAGCTTCCCATGGATACCCCACTCTGAAGCCCCAGGGCAAGAGAGAGCCATGTGGCAGAGGCCAGGTGCTGCCAGGTACCATAACACTTGCTTGAAGTTAGTGGCTGCAGCAACAGTTGGAATAAAACATAGGCTGAGAAAACATAATATTGGGAAGCCACAGACATGTCCACTCCTCATTCCCCTCAATGCTGGCGTGTCGTTCCTCAAGCCTGGTGAGTCGCAGGGTTTTAGGGCAGCAGCTAGGTCAGGATTGTCACAGATATTCATCCTCTGTCCTTCCCTGTCCATTCTGGATCCCTCTGCTCTTGGCTTTACTCAAATTCTCTTGGTCATTTGCCTGGTGGGGTGGTCCAGACCTCCATCCCCAAGGTGTCTAAGCCTGCAGTTAGCTGCTTTTGCCCTTGCTGGGCTGGACCTGCAGCATCTCCATGTGGGTAGTTACCACTGGGATAGAGGCACCAAGGGTTGCCCCGGAGAGCTCCCTGTTCTTCCTGCCCACTTGCAACCCCAGCTCCTCATGCCAATCCATGTCACTTACCTCTCCCTTTCTCGGCTTCTTATTCCCTGGCCTGAGGCCCCCCAAATGACCAGGTAGCAATTACAGAGCCCTATTGTGTCTGCTGGTGGAAGTATTCTCTCTCTGGAGACCAGAAACTCTAGTCTAGTGGAGTCTAAGACGGTAGGGGAAGAAGTGCCAGTTCTACAATGAATCCCTGAGAATAATGGTGAATGTGGCCAATGTCTCTTCCCCCTTGTGGTTACTGGACCCACATAGTCTAGCTATTGAGGTCACAGCACAATACTCCAGCCATTTATTCAATGCCCATATCTCATCCTAAAGGGTGTGGTCCCCCAGATGGTACCTTAGCTGACATGATGTGTCACCCATTGTTGTTTTCAGACTGGCTCCGTCCAGTCGATATGGTCTGTGTTAGGGCCAGTGGATCCCGTGGTCATGTGTCCATGGCACGTCCTCTTCACCATGAGATGTACCCCTTGTCTAAGGTGATATGGGATCTTGCATCAGTAAGTCATTTTAGCCTGTAAGCTCTGGATAGTGATGCTGTGCTGAAGTCAGGGAGGGAAAATTCATATGAGGGTGAATCATTGCTTCCTCCAGAGAGGGAAGGATCTGCTATAATAGATCTGCCAGCCATTGGTATCCTGGTCATCTTGAGCAATGGTGCCAAATGAATGGATCAACACTGGTCAGGGTGAGCGTTCAGCAACAGCAGCTGGATCACCCAAGGTGGGAGGGAACCCAAGCTGTTGGGCCCAGGCCGACAGCCTCCATCTCTGACACCATGACTGCTCTGTGCAAGCCCTGGGGTGGCCAGGGCTCAAATAGAGGCCAGCTGCCCTCCATTGGGCAGGTCATCCTTTCTCTTCTTGATTTCTCTCTCTGTGTGTTCTCCAGCTGGTATGAACATGAGACATGAAATCATCAGGCTTTGCGCTCACTCTCATAGGTCCCTGTGTTTACCATTCCCAAGCAAGCTTGTCTCCTTTCTACCAGTCTTGCTCTTTCCAGGCCCCTGAACAACCAGCCAAGTCACTCAGCTTTGCCCGGGAGCCCAGGACATCCACACTTTAAGACACCTCTCCATCCACACAAAATGAACAACCACGCACCCTCAGTGCGGGCAGCTCTGTGCTTGGGCAGCATCTCCCCTCATCCTTCAGGATCAGCCCTGAGAGGGTTTCAGTGCGGGAACAGACCCTGTCAGCTCTCTAATGAGAGAGAGCTGATGCCAAGCTGACCTTGGGACTCATCCTGAATGTTCTCTGTCTGCTGACCACAGGGAATCCCGGTGTGACTCAAGGGACAGGCCTTGTTACCACAGAGGTCGATATAGGAGTCACAGCCATCCATTTAAAACATTTCCTTGTACCCACTAGAGCTTCTTGGGTACTATTTCCATCCTCTGAAGACTCGCTGCTATTCCTGTCTCCCCAGGAGGAGAGTTACTTGATGTCCTGGGGTGCAGGTGCTTCATTTCTGTGATGGCCCCCAGGACCCCTGGAGTTGATTTTCACAGCACTCTACCGTGGGCAACATAGTGAGACTCTGTCTCAAAAAAGAAAAAAAAAAAAAATCAGTGGCCTTCTCTGTGCTAGGTTCTGGAAATACAGCAGTAGAACAATGGACGGGTCACTGCCTGCCTGATCTTGCTCACCTGAACAACCTCTGCTCCTCCAGAAAGGCTGTTTTAACTAAGAGTCTGGGTTGTGAGTGACAGAAAACAATGTAAGCCATCATAATTAAGATTAGCCATCAGCAGGAGTAATGATCGGGGAAAAGTAAATTAATGCCCCAAAAAAAAGAAAACTCTGGAGGTAGAATATGAAGCTTCATGCAGGAGTGGATCCCGGGTTTCACTCCATCTCCCAGACCTTCCCTTGGGCATGGTGGCCCCTTGGGGCCAACTCAGGTCTGTGTCCTGTCCTTCCAGCAACATCACAGGGTCTGTCTCAACAGTTGGGCACTTTTACCAGAGGAAGGTGGATTAGGTCTTGGGCAGGCAAAATTAAGAGGGTCCGAGCAGAGGCAATTCCAGCACCCCCCCTCCTCCCAGGCAGCGACCCAGGTTTCCTTCCCAGGGCATCCCGCTGTTTGGAGAGAGCTGGAGCCCCCAGAATGTGGGAAAAGAGGGCTCAGGGTCTCTTTCCCTCCTCCCCCAGGTCCCTGTGTCCATGTGTTCCAAGAGTTGCCAGTCTGGGCAAAAGAAGAAGTCCGTGGGCATCCACCCCTGCTGCTTTGAGTGCATCGACTGCCTCCCTGGCACCTACCTCAATCAGACCGCAGGTACAGGGCACAGGCGCCGCCCCTGCCCCGCCCCACCCCACCCCGCCCCGCCCCGTCCTTACCCTGGGATCTCCAGGGCTCTTCCCCTTTGGCAGGGCCTCTGGGGTCTCCTCCAGGGCATGTAAGTGTCTAAAGGTTCAGGACCATGTCTGTGTCTCCCCAGTACCTAGTGTAGAGCAAAATCCTGAATACAGGCTGGTTTGGTGGGGAGGGAGGAGGGTCAACACCCCCCCCACACCCCACCCCTTGTAGCAGAACTGGAGCTGAGCCTGGGGGTGTTCTACACACAACTCAGGGCCTGGGGGTGTCAGGCAGGGGAGCTGCAGCTGGAATGAATGAATGAATTCTTCTGCAGCATGAATGAATGCTTCTGCCAATAGACGTTTCTAGCAGAGAGCGACGGTATGCGATTTATCTCTTGGGCCTCCCAAGTGCTTAGGGTAGTCCGGAGTATATAATTGCTCAGTGAAAGTTAAATGATTTCCTTGCTTAGAGGAATGACCATTTCTTCCTATAGACCATAAACTTATAGAAGGTGTAGACCACGTTACCATTCTGTCCACATTAGGGTTTAGTGTACAGCTCAGGATTAGGGCTCAGAAATTTTTTGACTTCATGAATGTAAATTAAGCGGGTGAGTATGTCTCTCAAAACAGAACATACTGGGTGGCGCCTGTGGCTCAAGGAGTAGGGTGCCAGCCCCATATACCAGGGGTGGCAGGTTCAAGCCTGGCCCTGGCCAAAAACTGCAAAAAGAAAAAAAAACTAAACAAAAACAAACAAACAAATAAACAAACAAAAAAACCCAGAACTTACTGTGTGCCTAGCAGAGTGCAGAACTCAGAGCCGGTTGAGTGATGCTACTGGCCTTCCTCTTACAGCTGGCCTGGAGCCTGCAGGTGCGGGCTGGGTTCTATTCTTCTACCTCCCATACCTGCTTCAGTAGGTGGTGCTCAAAATTATTTGAGCAAGTGGTTGAATACCTCTTCCAGGTCTTGGAAGGGAGGATCTTTAGGTGATAGGCTTGGAGTTAAGGAGACCTCAGTTCAAATCTTGCCTCTGTAACTTACTGGCTTTGCAACTTTAGGGAGATAACCACACTGAGCCTCAGTTTCCCCATCTGTGAAATGGGGTTGCTGTGGGAATTGGATGTGCCAGTGCACGTAAGGGACTCAGGGAGTGCTGGCCATGAATAGAGAGGTTGCCCAGTGCCGGGACTGCAGGACGTGGGTGCTCAGAGGGTAGGATTAACTGACGGAAGATGCCATGGGCTTTTTTCAGATGAATATGACTGCCAGGTCTGCCCGAGTAACAAGTGGTCCCATAGAAGTGACACCTCCTGCTTCCACCGGCGTCTGGCCTTCCTGGAATGGCACGAGGCTCCCACCATCATTGTGGCCGTGCTGACTCTCCTGGGCTTCCTCAGCACCCTGGTCACCCTGCTTGTATTCTGGAGGCACTTCCAGACACCTGTGGTTCGCTCAGCTGGGGGCCCCATGTGCTTCCTGATGCTGGTGCCATTGCTGGTGGCCTACATGGTGGTCCCAGTGTATGTGGGGTTACCCACGGTCGCCACGTGTCTCTTCCGCCAGACCCTCTTTCCCCTCTGCTTCACCACCTGCATTACCTGCATCACCGTGCGCTCCTTCCAGATCGTCTGTGTCTTCAAAATGGCCAGCCGCCTCCCGCGTGCCTACGGCTACTGGCTTCGCTACCACGGGCCCTATATCTCTGTGCTGTGTATCATAGCACTCAAGGTGGTCATCGTGGTGGGTAACTTGCTGACCAACAGCCCCAACCCCACCACCCGTACCGACCCCGACGATCCCCAGATCATGATCATCTCCTGCAACCCCAACTACCGCAGCGGGCTGTTGTTTAGCACCGGCCTGGACCTGGTCCTCTCCGTGCTGGGTTTCAGCTTCGCCTACACAGGCAAGGAGCTGCCCACCAGCTATAACGAGGCCAAGTTCATCACCCTCAACATGACCTTCTACTTCATCTCCTCTGTCGCCCTCATCACTTTTATGTCTGTCTACAATGGGGTGCTGGTCACCATCATGGAACTCTTGGTCACTGTGCTCAACCTTCTAGCCATCAGCCTGGGATACTTTGGCCCCAAGTGCTTCACAATCCTTTTCTACCCAGAGCGCAACACACAGGCCTACTTCAACAGCATGATCCAGGGCTATACCATGCGGAAGGAGTAGCAGCCATGGGCGTCCCAGATGGAGGGTTTCACACTGGGGATTGGAAATCAGGTGTTCAGTTACAGGTGGATGTGGGGACACCCTCCCAGACAAGTACCATATCTCCTTGGTGTCTGATGAGCTGTTCCTCTGAGGATCTCTGCATCTTGTCTGCTTTTACCCACTTAATGATTCTGTTCCTTTCTCTTGAGCTATTTTGTTTGGCAGGCACTGCCACCCTATTCTAGAAAACTCAAGGTGACAAGTTGGTCTCCAAGGCCAAAGTCTGATTTAGCAGCCTACAGCCGCCATCTGGTGGTCACACTGGGCATCTGCATGTTGCAGTTCAAGGCTTAGGGATGTGATCTGGGCTGGGCTTGGTGTGGGAGGCCTGGGTCTGCTGGTCAGTGTGTGAGCTCCAGTAGTGCTGCCCGGGCACCACCCACTAGCTCTGTCATGTGACTATGTTTCATTTCCCTGTTCCCAAAGAGCTTGGGGACCAGGGTTTTGTGCTGTGTCTAAGTGATGGCTGGGTACGATGGGTGCTTCGTAAATGCTTATAAATAAACCTTACTTGGGTGTAATGAATGAGCCTCCTTCCTGTCTTCAGAGTTCAGAAGTCCTCTGAGAAAGAATATGTGGAATTAGAGAGACTTCAGTTTCAACCCCAGCATTGCCACTTTCCAAGCTGTGTGATCGTGGACCAATATTTTATTTTCTCTGAGCTTACAGTTCCTGTCTCTAAAATGGAAATGATACCTGCTTCCTGGGGACATTTAGGGAGTGGAGATGATGTGTGTGAAGTAATTTAAGGATTGGAGATAATGTGTGTGAAGTGCATGTAGTAGGTACTCAATAAATGCCATCCACTGCACAGCCACAAGGCCCTGGAACCGTCAGGGACAGCAGCAAGTTGTGCTTTTATTTATTTATTTTAAGACAGAGTCTCACTCTGTCTCCTTGGGTAGGGTGCTGTGGCATCATAGCTCACAGGAACCTTAAACTCTTGGGCTTAAGTGATCCTCTTCCTTGGCCTCCCCAGTAGCTGGGATTATAGGCACCTGCCATGATGCCTGGCTAGTTTTTCTATTTTTAGTAGAGACAAGGTCTTGCTCTTGCTCAGGCTGGTCTTGAACTCCTGAGCTCAGGTGATCCATCTGCCTCAGCCTCCTAGACTGCTAGGATTACAGGTGTGAGCCATTGTGCTCAGCTGCAATTTGTGGTTTTGTTTTTCTAATGCTACACATGTGCTCCAGTCCCTGCTAGTAGCCTCTGTTGGAAAGTAGCCTTCCTCAAATTGTTCCCCAACCATGCTCCACCCTAGAAAATTCTGGGCATTGCCTTGGGGGGTACTTGGGCCTCAGGCAGGCTCCAGAGCCAGCAGGCACTGTGGTGGCTCTGATGCCTTTGTATTGTTGAGCCTTGGAGAAGCCACAATGCTGGGGGTGGCTGTGCCCATGCCAACCACCCACAGTGGCAGGCTCCAGCAACAGGAGGGGCCCCGACTCCCTATGCCAAGGCATCAGGACTGGCCTCTCCAAGGAGCCTGTACTCCACGGATGAGGCCTCCAAACAGCCATCCAGAGAGGCTGAGTGACTGGCTCAGGTACACCCAGCTTGCAGGTGGGAGAGCCAGGTGTCAGCCTCCTCTGCTGTTCCCCAAGCACAGGCAAATACAGGCTCCTTGAAGAATCCATTCCTGAGTGACATCTTGGCCTTCTCAGAACTCCCCGGGAGTGAGTCATAGTTGGTCCAGGGCTTGTCAGCAGCCAGGAGGGCACAGCTTCCTTCTCTTGTCCTAGGCTTACCTCTTCTGCACCTCGAGATGGTAGGTGGTGGGATCTTGGCTGGAATCATCTGTCATTTGGGGGGAATAGCCTTCACATTTTGGGACCACTCATCCATAATGGCAGCGATTGTGCTTGTTTCTCTTCCCAGAGCAGGTCCACCAGATTAGTGATGAAATCAGTAACCACTTGGTCACCCTCTCCTCTGCCACCCATTCCCTCAGACCACAGCCTCCTTAATTCAGTTCACTTATTACAGACTTCGGGTGCCGACAACCTTTCATCCTTACAATCACACCACCGTGCTGGCCTTGGTGAGGATAACAGCTAATATTCATTGCCAGGCCCCTCGTTAAGAATTTCACGACTTTATTCATGCACTCCTCCCCAGGGGCACTATTATGATTCTTATTTTACAGATAGAGAGTGAAAGGGAACTTCAAGGCAGTTATGGTGCTTACCCAGGGTCACATAGCTCATCTGAGACCAACAACGTACAGCCTGCCACTGAGGCCACTGCCGCTGGGGCCCACAGGGAAGGGAAGGGGAAGGGAAAAGAAAAACCCTGACAGCCCTGCCCAGAAAACTGTCCCCACTTAGGTTCCCCAGACAAGGGGCTGTGCTCAGATAGAAGCTTCAGATGTTAGGGAGTTGGGTACAGGGACCAGGAAAGACTTCAGGAGAAGCTGGCATTTGGAGAGAGCCGTAAAGTGTGTCTAGGTGTGAGGAGCAGGTGCAGTGGGAGGAAGCATGGCCAGCTCCAGGAGGAGAACGTGCCTGAGATTGGTGGCATGGTGAAAGCCTAGCTTATAAGGGCTGCAGGGGCTGGGTGTGGGGGGCCTAGCTCTGGGTGTCTGGACCTCGTCCTCCCTGGCTGGGTGCTGCCAGCATCCTGTGCACACACTGGGTTGCTCTTCTCCTGGGCCACCTGAAATGTCATCTGGTCCTCTGTCATCACTGTGACCAGCCTTCCTCTATGGCTCTGTTCCCTTCCTAGAGTTTTCTGCACTGGCCTGGACTAGTGGGCTGGAGACTGCTGGACTGCTGGGGTCTTTCTGGGACATTCTTCCTCTGTCTCCTCCACTTGCTTCCCAGGGGAGCCCAGAGCCTCTGCTGAACTCCCCCTGCCAGCCCTGAGCTTTTGGGAGGCAACTTGGTGTGGTCTATTCCTGTACGTGTAGCTGTGTCCTGTCCCTCTCGCCCTGGGGACCAGATTGTCAGAGGCTCAGAGAGTTTTAAGCTCTTAATTCTCTTTTCTTGCATGCTTCTGATGCCTTGGTTTAACATTTTCTTTAAAAAAGAGCTAATCACCTCCTTTCTTGGTTGTGCCTCCTGGACCACCGTTAGAGAAGAGAATCCTGGAACCTCACGAACCTCAGAGGTATCTGCTCATCACCTCGATCTGCAGCCGCCCTGACCACTGGGATCTTAATCCTTCCTTGCTTCTCTCCAGTGACAGGAAGCTCACCGAGGACAACACCAATTATTAGAAAAAACACCTATTACTAGAAAATTTTTCTTAGATTGAATTAAAACCCAACTCCCTGAGATTTCCATTTAATGGCCACTAGTGTTATCCTCTTGGACCACAAATTCAATCTAATTCCTTTTTCTCACGATGGGCTTTTCTATGTAATAGCAAAAAGAATAGTTCCCTTTCAAGGAGCACCTACTGTGTGTTCTGCTGTCACGAATCCCCGCAAGGATCCTGCCTAACAGGCACCAGAAGCCAGAGGTGGACGCAGGCCGAAGCCTCCCGGAGCCTCCCTCCCATACTGCCCAGCAGCCCCTGCGCAGCTCCAGGGAAGGCAACTGTATCTCTTGGATTTTGGGGGGTGGGCCTTGGTTGGTCCAACCAGAGAGACTCTCAGAACTTTTCCTGGGACAGACATTCTTTAGGAACCAGTAAGAAGGTGGTCGACCCAAGAGCTGGGGGCAGGTCTTGTGGGATCCCAAGGTAAGTCAGCCTTGGGGAAAGCTGGACCTCACCGAAGGCAAAGTGGAAGGGTGGGAAAACTGAGTCCTTGGAGCCTTTTTTGAGCTAATGGATCTCACGCAAAGGCAGCACTAACTCTGAAACGCTCTATTTCATGAATCGACTGATGTCCATTGCTTAAGGTAGTTTGAGTTAGATTTTCTGCGCCTTTGCAATCCAAATCATTCTTATACTACAGAGGAAATTGAAGCTCAGAGGTGCTGATTAACTTACCCAGGGTCACCTAGCTCTTAAGTGAGGCAGCTAGCATTTGGGCTCAAGGGGGAATTTGTGAGAGGTTACAACTATTTGAGTTCTACTCAGGCCATCTCTCCTTTGGTCTAAAAGTCCCCGTTTGTCCTCAGGACCTGATTTTAACCACTGTCCTGGTCCTCTCCTTTGGACACACTCTGATTTGCAAACATCTCTCTTAGAGCAGCTCTCACACTTTGCTCTCCTTGGTCCCTGTCATTCTTCCCAAATCCACAGTCAATCTCTGGCCACCTGAGTAGAGCCCCCTATGCTCAGTCACCACGAAGGGCCTTCCTAGCCCAGAATCCTCCCATGGCTCCCTAGTGCTGAGAAAGTTAAGTCTTCACTTAAAATTGCCAATAGGTTCTTGAAAACTGTGACTTCAAGCAAAATGGTGTACAGGGTTATGAGCGAAATAGATTCTGTAGGTTTGTTCTTAGGTTGAATATTTGTGTGTATGTTGGAACAGGTACACTTACCTAGTACCTGTAATAGCCTCCGTTTGTAAGTGTGAGTTGTACATCAGTCAGAAGTTTATAACCCAGCCACTGCTTGTAGAATGAAACGAATTCTTTTTTGTCGTTAATGTTATATTGAAACCACATCCAATAAAATGACTTTATTTGAGGACCTTCTGTATTTTGTTTTGCTTAAAGTAGAGGTTTCTAAAAACCTATTGATGACCTTACATAAGGAATTGCTGTGCCACCACGTTGACCTCTTTCATGTTCCATGTAAAGCCCCGTGAAGCCTGCACTGTAACCCACCCCCCCCCAGCCTTATCCCCCAGGGACCCCAGTGGCCTCCTGGCTGCTCCCCAGACATGTCGCCTGGTTTCATGCCTTTGCTTAAGCTGTTCCTTCTCACTCGTCTGTGGCAGACGTATATTCATCCTGTAGGGCCCAGCTCAAATGCCTCCTCCTCTGGGAAGCCTTGGGCAGAGGTGAGTTTTGGTGTTCCTGTGGCCTCTTGGGCTTCAGGTCTGCTGCCCCCTGGTGTGGGGCCTG